TAAGCGGAGAGCCAACCACAGCACGCCATTAGTTATGTACTGCCAACCACAGCACGCCATTAGTTATATATGGACGGATAAGCTGTGTATTAGTATGGACAGGGTGGCCTAGTTATTACAACCAGGATTGTAGAAAAGAGGCTGCCAAGCAAAGCAAAATTTGAGCAGCGAGTTACGGGTTCGAGATCTTAACAAGCAGTGAAAATTTTGCAATGTATTGAATCGGTGGCAGGCCTACGGCGTAATGAAAGCTAAAATGGATATTATTTTCATTAAACGCATAACGTTTCTTTAGAACAATCACAGCCAAATCGAACTTCCTGTGTACAGACCGCATTAAATGCAAGGAAATTGTTGCCGATGGCATTCCTCATCGTCAAAGACTCGACCAAACTGACCTCGTGGGGTCGAATCATTTCTGAACTTGTTTCTTGCTGCCAGCGTCGGAAGTTTCATTTGCTCAGTGGCGCAGCTCGCACATATCTTTCATTTAATGCGTGAATTAACGGGTCGTGAAAACAATAATAGTTGTCTGGAGTTGTCACCAATGGCTAGAGATTATCCTAATATGATCGTGCTCAAGCCTTTTTATATTTCTATAAAATTTCCATGTTTTTACCTACAGTTCGGCCTGATCTCAGTGTCGTTGAGAGTTCTCTCTCGTGCTCAAGAAGATGGAACCGGGCATAGCAGAGAACGGAAGTTGGCTATTATCTGAATACGGGAATAATTAGAGGAAGTAGAAGCCCCCTGCGATTACCCTGAATGTGGTCAACTCAGGTGCATAATTTTTTGCCTGCGGAGTACTTCGCGCACGATAATTATGGTCCATTTAAGTATCGTAATGATGAGCTAGATTCTTCCATGCCTGTTTAATCTAACGCAGTGGTTCCCAAAGTGGGCGATATCGCCCCCCTAGGGGCGGTGAAAAGATTTTGGGAGGCGATAAGGAAGAAGAAGACGGTAGGGGGGCGATAGGGGGGCGATATGGGGGGCGGCTGTCCGAAGTCAATGTCAGAAGTTCGAACGTTTGTTAGACGATTTGTACACAACACGTGCAGCACATGACTCCCAGCGATGTTTTTTTCTGTTTTTTTTTTTTACCTAGCTCTCCTGTGTTTACGTCTCGGACAAATTAACGGCCGGACTCGAGGCTGGTCTCACGGCCAATTTTGATAACGTTGAATTTCTATGACTAATCCAGGTAGCATCTGGAAGGAATCCGAATATCTCTCAAACTAATGAACTTAACTCGATGAAACTTGGTACACGTATTCATTAGCACCTAACGGTAATGTTTTGCTCGTGAAAATTGTTTGAATTTTCCCAGCGTTCGTTTTTTTCCATACTATATGCCAATACGTGCCGAAATTCACAGTTATCAAGTAATTTCTTCCAAACTACTGAACAGATTCGAACGAAATTTTGAATTTACAGTCCTAACTAAAAATTTTTCGATTGTGCCTTCGTTCGCGAGTTTTTTTTTTCATTTCACCTTCATTTGTGATTTAAACAGCAATTCGTGCTTAAATTCGCAGTAATCAAGGATTTTTTTCCAAACTACTGAACAGATTTGAACGAAACTCAGTATTTAAATACCTAAACCTCAGCAACGATGATGCTTACATTTTTTCTTTTTGCCTTCGTTTGCGAGTTATACGGCTATTATACGTATACTGATTCTGATTTATAGAAGCCACCGATCGACCGGTAGAAAAGCTGGTCGTTCCTCATATATCTGTATAACTCGCAAACGAAAGCAAAATGGAAAAATTGTCACGAGCTAAACATCACTGTTGAAAGGTTATGTATTTTTATACAAAGTTTCGTTGAAATCTGTTCTGTATTTTNGTTGAGAGGTTATGTGTTTTTATACAAAGTTTCGTTGAAATCTGTTCTGTATTTTAGAAGAAATTTCTTGATCGCCGCGAATTTAAGCGACAAATTACCCGGCGATACTGGCCGAATATAAGGAAGTGTGAAATCAAGAATGACGGTGAAATGAAAAAAACTCGCAAACGAAGGTAAAATCGAAAAAAATTTATAAGCCAAAAAATCACCGCTTGGTAGTTAGGAATGTATATTCAAAGTTTCGTTCAAATCTGTTCAATAGTTTGGAAGAAATTCTTTGATCAATGCGAATTTTGGCCTGTTACGCAATATACGAGCAACTCACGAATGAAGGTGAAATTTAAACAAATTTACTAGCTAAACATCACCGTTAGGTTCTGATGAATACGTGTTCCAAGTTTCACAGTATAGTATAGTATCTTCGGCATTTAAATAATAGGCCTGGATAGGCCTGTCGCCGATTCTTCTACTCTTCTTGACTAGACTGGCCTTTTGATCAGATCTTTTCAACGGACGGTAGATTTAAAATAGCTTCTAGATATCAGTTGTTCCGTAGGGTACGAGGCATTTTAAGATTAAACTCAGAGCTGCGTTGAGCTGCTCTTGTTGATTAAACACAGAGCTGCGTTGAGCTGCGTTCATTTGTTTTGGGAGATATTTTCTTGATAATTGAATTTGGAGATTGGTCGTGAGACCGGCCACGAGTCCAGCCGTAAATTCGCCCGCGACGTCCTTGGCTTCTACATAGTGCTGAAACAGTTCAAACAGCTGAAAACATATTGGTTTACTATATGCGGTTCTATTTGTGAAATACACATTTGTGTTCAACTTTTATCTTTCAAAATTTCAGCGTACTAAATTTCAAGAGAGTGGCGTATGTCTGTGGGGGGCGCTAGAAATTCACTAGGGGGCCAAAGGGGGCGCCAGCCTGAAAAAGTTTGGGAACCACTGATCTAACGGGAATACCTTCCCCTCATAGCATATAATTTCATAACAAATTCTCACCTTGTTCCTTCTGTAGAATAGCTGTAATCGGCGCAAAATGCTGGTCCTTGAATAAAATAACGAGTCTTGTAAAATATTTTTTCTGTGATGCTGCTCATGGTGTTTGTTGATACATTTTCAACTATCGAACCAATCTATACAGCTGACTGCAATGCATTTTTGCAGGCTTCATGCAGCTTGGAAGCCGTACGTGTTACTGCTTGTGCACTATTCGGTTCATTACCGACCGCCAACTGAAAAATTTTAGCCACGATAAACTAGAAATGAGATATGGAGTTGGTGGGAGACATTCTGGCAAGACAAATGAATTAAAGATTAAGTAAAGATGTCGCCTCTGTTGAATGCGACTGCGGTGTCAAAAAATGCAGAGAGCTGATGATCACTTGTACAGTGAATTATTATTATATATTATTACGTACTATTAAGAATACAATTAATTAAATTTAGTCAGAATTTACATGTTAGAAGTCCCCTCAGAAATATTTGAATGAACCGATTGAGCGAAGAAGTTTATACAAAGTGAAGTTAGGATGAAATCTTCGGCTCTACATCAAGACAGGCGATGCCGGAAAACACAAAGCCGGCTTCGCGGGGCGTCCTTGCATAACGAAATAAATAATCTAATATTGAGATGCAGCGTCTTAACTATCGAATACAACAATCTAAACAAGAAAATAATGTCAAACATGAGCAAAAATTCACAACTAGCTCCTTATCACCGAATAACAAAAATACTCATTAGAACTAAAAGAATGCTGTGGTGCTCCGTTCTTTTCCAGTTACCAAAATACATAAAATTATTGGTTTGGTAAATAATTCAACGCATTCGGAGGTATTTTATTATGTTATGTTATCATCAAAGATGTTTGGTTATATTCGATTAAATTGGATTATTCCGGTCATATTCTGAGGGATTCGAAGGTATGATAAGTTATTGTTCGTTCTAATTTTACTATGATTCAATACATTTCTTTCTAATGGTAACTAATATTAATTCTTCAAATGGCTACATTATTTCATTCACTTGATTGGCCTATTCGATTTTTCAACTTTTCACAATATTTTTGAAACTTTATTTATGAGTTGGAGAGTTTGAATTCTGTTATCATGGTAAAAATCGTTGTATACAATCTGCGTCTCTTACGTTCGGATTTTGCTGCAATCTATTAGTATATCATGCATTTAAGTGTCACTTCAAACATATATATAAATGAATAATGACAATTTTACGAAGGCTTTAACCAGATGAATGATCACTGCAACTTTTAGTTAGTTGGTAAAATTCAGTAATGCAGTGTCAGAGCAAAGCTCAAACTGGAAACTATATAGAACCCCTGATATCGCTAGAACTCAAGCTTGTAATGATCCTTTCTAGAGACAAATATTCCGAGCACATATCATATAGTGTGGAACTGCTTGAAAAGTGCAGTTTTATCTGTTCTGTTGCTCCACATTTATTGTTAAACTAATTCTTCTGGTTTCTATTTAAATTTAGCTCGAAACACAACATTCAAATTTGCCTGCGAAGTTGCAAAAGACGCGTCAATTTATGCGTCTCATCAATATACTCAGACGCATAAATTATTGATCAACGGCACGTCCACAAATTTTTTAAAATATTACAAATACTCATACTGATGATGATTTTCAGCCAGATATAAATCTTGAATTAGATAATGCACTTTAGAATCAACTTCAAGTCGGAAATGATCACAAAAATTATATCCGAACGATTTATTATTCTTTCCGCCGTGATTTACGTTGCTACACTGAAGCTCAGGAATATGTGATGAACGTGGCATTCTCTTCCTTGGCAAGACAAGCTATTGCTAAGGATGATTTTCTGATGTTCATGATCGCAATTTCAAGCATGGCTTTCAGTGAAGCATAGACGGACGGCTTCTAGGCGAGATGTGCTGTCGCGTTCACAATTCCCTCTGAGCTGGCACGCAGATGACGAGAAACTGACGGAACTTGCTGCAAGTTTGGACGCAGTTCCTAGGGTAACCAAGGCTTGAGAGGGTAATGGGTAACCAACACTTGAGAGGGTAACGGGTAACCAAGGCTTGAGAGGGTAATGGTCAATCAATACTTCAGAGAGTAATGGATAACCACCACCCGAGTGGGTAATAAAACTCAACTTCTTGCATTTCATGGATTATATTTCCGACCATCAATAAAGATTGTTACTCAAAACACTTCCTTACATTATGAACACGTGGATAATATAGTCACACTTGATATAGAAATTCATTCTGATATTAATGTCGATTTCAGTCGTGTTCCGGTTGATTTCAGTACGCCGTGTTCCGGGAGAGTTAATTCCGTTTCATTTAAGTTATAGGTTCAAATTTACCATGTAGACAATAGACGAACCGAAGATACTGGAAAACAGGACATGAAACAACAGCATCAAACATTTGCAGATACAACAAATTGTACCCTCGCTGAAGGCATGGGAGTTAATAATAATATATTAATAATAATAATAGTTAATAATAATAATAATAGTTAGAGGTATAGTGACAGTCATGCTATACATTACATCAATGTTCTGATATAATTGATAAGCAATATATATACAAAAATTAGATCAGTACTCAATGCAGTGAGTGACAGAGAGCGCATTTTCTCGTCGACGAAAACGTGAAGTCACGGACGGACATGACGAGCACAATAGCGCATTTTTTCCATAACTGAGAAAATGCGCTAAAACGATTTGAAGTTGGTCTAAATAATATTAAAAGAAATCATAGACAAAGTAATAGTTCCTTACGTTCAAGTATTTCATGGTTGAGTCCCTGCAAGGCTGGTACGCGGTTGAGAACTTAGTGTCCGAGGTGCACTTGTTCTGCAACGTTGTTTTCTTGAAGGCCGTGTCGTCGAAAGAGCCGTCGGCTTTAAGCTGTTGAAGATAATAATAATAATAGCGGTTTCAGTGTTAATTAGGCCGTAGGCCTGTCGCCGATTCCTAACATCGCAGAACATTCACAGCTTGTTGTGGTCTCGAACCCACAACTCACTGCTTCAATTCTGCTGTGCTTAAATTAACCGCCCGGCCTCCTCGCCGATTCTGACCAGAAACTGGCGCACAGAGCTGGGATAGAACCCGCAACTCTCTGCTCCAATCTTGGTACTCTGGGCCTATGCTCTAAAAAAAAGTTAAGAGATCGTAAGTTCATTAGCCAATCATTGACGGCCTTTCAAGCAAAATCCACCAATCATAGACAAGAAAATAGAGCGTAAGTACTTACGTTCACTTAGCGAGTTTTGAAAGTATGGCCCCTGAACTGTAACCACTGGGCAACCCTGTCCACTCAGATAGGATGCGATAGGGTATAGGATGATAGAATAGAATGTGTTGAGTTAATGGAGAAAAGGAAGTCAAGGAAAATAAGAACCCTTTTTCTCATATGAAGGTTAATGTGGAGGAATGTATTATATGAACATAAAAGTATAAATTGTTGATAAATCAAGATCGTTAGCCTCATGGAAGCAGTTGTTGATATCACTGAGAGAGGATGATGAAAAAATAGTTGAATCACAAGCATGTATCAGAAGAAAAGAAGCAAATGACTAACTCCCCTCAAAACATTGAAGATTCGCTTTGAATGAATTGCCATGGAGACACCAAATGATTCCCTTTGAGATAACTCGAGTCATCTGTTCTCTGCAAATGATTTATATTCATGTTTCTTTTTAGATGGGTTGATATAGGATAATATTACAGCAGCAAGCATATTTAGTCCGTATCAATAAATTATAATCCGATTTTCCTTTCGATGCACATCCATTTCAACTCCAACGACCGTTGTCCTCATTTTGAAAATGAAAATAGCGGTTTCAGCGTTTATTAGGCCGTAGGCCTGTCGCCGATTCTTAACATCGCAGAACATTCACAGTATTTTGCGGTCTCAAACTCGCAACTCATTGCAACAATTCTGCTGTGCTTAACCGCTCGGCCTCCTTGCCGATTCTGACCAGAAACTGGCGCACAGAGCTGGGATCGAACCCGCGCCTCTCTGCGCCAATCCTGATACTCTGAACTTTAACCACTGGGCCATCCAGTTTTAGCCAAGAAGGGACTGGACAAACAGGGTGTGAAAAATAAAAATATTAACGTCCCAACGCATTTTTTTGCAGGCAAACAACCGTGAAATAAATAATAAAACCAAATTTTTAAACACTGAACTCATAATCAGTTCGCAGAGATACTCACAAGTCCTGAAGTTTTTAAGATGCATTTCATGTAATTCATCACAATCGGGTCACAGAATTCGACATTGTGCGGTGCTAGGCCATACATATAGGAGCAGTTTCGGTCTGTTGAGGGAGGGTTAAATAAGGTAACAGAACAAAGTTATTCTTTTTCATTTCATAATCTAACAATAATGCAGCAGAAAGGAAAGATGGTACGTAGCCTTCAATAAAATTACTGTCCACAAAATTTTATAACGTAAATGGTGGCTGTTAGCGACAAAAGTTGTGTTGGAAGCGTTGTGTTTGCTGGTCTCGAGCTAGTTGTCATCTACGGGACCAAGCTAGGGTGTTAGCAGGACAATCTATACACTGTTAGAAAAATATAACTCAGTACTCACTGCAGTGAGTGACAGAGCGCATTTTCTCGTCACCGAAAACATGAAGTCACGGACGGACGGAAGGACGGACGGACATGGCGAGCACAATAGCGCATTTTTTCCATAAATGAGAAAATGCGTTAAAAATCACCGTTAAACGGTATTACCGGCGTTTCAGTAACAGGCCGGCACGTGAAAATATGCCGTTGCCGATTTTATTCCAATTTACACTAGAAACTCGCGTAACATCAGAAAAAAACGGCGAAATGCTATATTTTTACGGGGCCGCTGGTTAGTAGAACGCCGGAAAGATCGTTTTTCACCGTATTTTCGAACAGTGATTGCTCAGGATGAAAAGATGGGGAAACATGTTCAAGCGCAGCGTTGGACGTAGGATGAACTGTGCGTATATAACGTTATCATATGTTGCTTATCATGTGGGAAAATTTTCCCACGATTGTTAACGTTTGTTCTTTGCGAAATTTATTCATTGTTGTCATTGATTTATGTTGTATTCAGTTACGTTTCGTATTTAAGTGGGTAGCATTCCAGATGAGTTGGTAGCATTCCAGATCATCCAGTCATTACTTCGCCCAACGAGTAGTTCACTTGTCTTGTATTCACCTGGACAAGCCTTAAAGTGTATTCACTTCACCCTACACAGCATCAGCATTATTTCTTTTAAATTTCTAATTTATTGCCTTCAAACAGCATTAGCACTAAGATGCTCTAAAACCTTAAGTTTGTTAGTTTTGTTATTCATACTTGACGTTACTTGATTTAAAATTTTGAGTAGTAGGTCATTACATATAGGTAGTATCCGATCAGATTTGAAATGCCTAGCACCTTATCGAACCCGGCGGAAGTCTAGTAGCTACTTCAAACTATCGTCAGTCATGAAAAAATCCGGTCAAATGACACGATTTTTGATATTCTGTGAACATGGCACGAAAAGGAAAAGAATCGGCGACAGGCCCCATCAGGCCTACACTTCAGCGCCGAGATCACTATGTTATGTTATGTTATGTTAATTACCAAGTCGTCAATTTTTCCTTCTAGTATCTGGGATTCATCGAGGCAACGACATTTAGGAACTTTTTTACTGCTGGATTCGATAAAACTCTTTTCAAAGCACCGTCCGTTCAAAATTGTCATCTCCTCGTTTTTTCTTATTTTATGTACTGCAGTATATGAATTTCTAATTAAGCTGCCTTATTATACTGGTCATATCATTGCCAGTAGCACCTGCACATCGTCAATTTTTTATCGATATTCGTTTAATCTTATTTCCATTATTTTTGTCCCATTGTTCGAGTCAGTCATAATTCCGGACAATCTAAGACCTTACCACTACTGAATGAGTAATCCGCAGTCCAGTATTTTTCTTTGCAAGTCCCAGCTGCCAACTCCACTAGCTTCATGTGGGCAGATGACAGCGCCGATAAGCATGTGGAGGGGGCACTGTATTAAAAACATATATCATATATTTTTATTTTAATCTGCTTATGAGGAAACATACAATTAAGCATATTCATTTGGAATTAAGTTTGCCCTGTTTTTCAATGAAATTTTACGGCATAATCAATTTTATCGGCGTAAAATAGTCACAAACGTCATCCTGAGCACAAATTATTTACTGCACTGTGAACGCGCGACACTCACGCCGACACTGACGCTGCTGCCACGACGAGAAGCAAGAGAGCTCGGTTCATCTTCTGTTTGGGGATATGCCTGGGGTCCGAAAAAAGAACAGGATATGATTGGGATCAGAGAGACAGAACAGGATATGTTTGGGGTCCGAAAAAAGAACAGGATATGCCAGGGGTCAGAGAGACAGAACAGGATATGTTTGGGGTCCGAAAAAAGAACAGGATATGTTTGGGGTCAGAGAGACAGAACAGGATATGTTTGGGGTCAGAGAGACAGAACAGGATATGTTTGGGGTCCGAAAGACAGAACAAGATATCCTTGAGGTCCGAGAGACAGATCAGGATATGCCTGGGGTCCGAAAAAAAGAACAGGATATGCCTGGGGTCCGAAAAAAAAGAACAGGATATGATTGGGGTCAGAGAGACAGAGCAGGATATGTTTGGGGTCTGAAAAAATAACAGGATATGATTGGGGTCAGAGAGACAGATCAGGATATGCATGGGGTCCGAGTGACAGAACAGGATATGCCTGGGGTCCGAAAAAAGAACAGGATATGTTTGGGGTCCGAAAAAAAAATCAGGATATACCTGAGGTCCAAGTGCTGTTGTTTCACTGTTGCGGTGTTGACATGAGGCTAGCATTTTTATAGACCTGCTGTTTGTTGGTTCAGGTGCATGAAGAATAAATTCGCAGCTAGACTCTACGCACAGCTTTGATGATAAATTTTTGTTCAAGGCTGCAACCAGTGCAGCCATCCACGAACGAGTGCAGTCATTGAATTTAGGCCCGATCGAATGATGCATGATTATTTTAAAGAATGATAGAATATAATTACGAACTTTCGAGACTTTTTTTTGTTCACTTGATCATTTTCTCGCTGAATTCTTGTTGCTTCCGACCGGAGCCGAGGCTGTTCGATAAAGGCCCAGGAGCCATACTTTGTAAACTCGCTAGTGAACGTAAGTACTTACGCTCTATTTTCTTGTCTATGATTGGTGGATTTTGCCTGAAAGGCCGTCAATGATTGGCTTATGAACTTACGATCTCTTAACTTTTTTTGAAAGTATTGGCCCTGAATTTCAATCGTCATGTTCTGACACTGTAAACGCGACGGCGATGTGAGCCGCTCTTACATCAGTGCCAGCCAGACCAAGCAAACTTTAACCGTGCGGTGAAGTGAACTTTGTATTTTTGGCACTTAATTGATAACGAAGGCACTGGTGAATGCTGATGATGCAGAGAAAATACAGAAGCAAGAACAAAAAAGTGAACCCAGAGATTGGCACGCACTGAACTAAATGATCCTGATAACTGAGTAACTTGATGACTTGAGTAACTTGATTATTCAGTAAAGGGTATAGTGAAAAGGTTCACTGTACCCCCTTTGGAAAGGGTACAGTTAAAATTTGATTGGTCTGGCTGGCGCTGAAGTAAGAGCGGCTGACATCACGCTTTCGAATAAATTCATCTAATAAAACATATATTAACGAAACTAATCCATTCAGCCAGTAAAGGAGTAATTGAAAGGGTTAATCGAACTATCGAAATTGTTGTAAAGTTTTCTAGTCATAAAAAAGTGGGATGACGCTCAATGACTTGCGGCAATAACGTATAACGATAACTCTCATAAATTTAGTTGCAGACTACATAATTTAACGCACTATTTTTTGTATAAGAAACCATGAAGATGTTGATAATCTTGCTGGCAGACTTAAAGGCCAATTATCCGATAAAATTGTCGTTAAATTATTTTAATTCCTTATTAATGTTCCTAAGATTATTTTCTCGTTGAGTTGCTAATGACATCTGCGACCTCGACTGCCCGAGGAAGATAATCGAACTTCATTTGTCAGAGAATTTAAATGCCATGCATTTGTCCTGAGTTATGAACTAACAAACACGCGTGGTCATTATGGCAGTTGACTAATGTTTCTCCTCACGCATTAACAAATGTGAACTTTAGTTCATTTGAATGTGTGAGTCACTGGGCTTATTATTATTCCTAAGAATATTAATTATTCTTAATTATTATATATTAGGTATTGAATAATATACCGCGCCGCATCAGAAATGACTTTAAGGAGCCACATCATTTTTATTAGTTATTATCACGAAGGTTTATAATTTGAATATTTTATTGGTATTAATTATTGGCCATATTTAACATGTGGTCATTCATTTTATAACATTGAAGTCATTTAATTTGCATAATTATTCATATTACGAATAGTTTATCACCGATGCATCTTGTATTAATAAATGCAATGTTAATTGGGAGACTAAAAGTGCTGATGTATAATCAAGAAACATTATATCTGGCCTGCGGGAATTTTGCGCAACGGTATCGCCAATCGCGGCAACCACCTTCGCGATAGCGCGGAAGCTGGCAGTGCCTGCCGGCCTGGGGCCATACTTTCAAAACTCGCTAAGTGAACGTAAGTTCTTACGCTCTATTTTCTTGTCTATGATTAGTGGATTTTGCTTGGAAGGCCGTCAATGATTGGCTGATGAACTTACGATCTCTTAACTTTTTTTGAAAGTATGGCCCCTGGTCGCTCGCGGTAGGACAGACTGACTGCGGCAGCAGGCCCTTTCCAGGCCGAGAAGCGCTGCCACAATATTGCGCTGCTGTGGACATTCCTGCGCTGTTGACCACCCTGGCGTTGCGCTGGGGCGAGCGTTGGCGCAGGCAAGTTCACCCGCGGCTGGCTTCCAGACTGCGGCGATTTCTGACTGGGATTTCAACGTTGAACCACCGTCGATATTGGTACGTTGAATGTTTACTAATTTTTAAACGCTGAATCAATGTTTATTTCAGGTTGAAATGCTGAACAGGTAAAATTAAACGTCCAATCAACGTCGAAATCTGACCAAAACTAGAAAGGACCTAAAACAACCTTATTTAAAGGTTGAAAAATGGTCGATATAGTTACGTTGAATGTTAAGCTATTTACCAGCAAGGAAATAATGTTATCACACCAATATTGAATTATATCAATATAAATAATTTTACGATTAATGACCAGAGAATGCATTTCAATTTTCAAGGAGTTGCACAATTCCTTAGTTTATTTCTATTGCTGATGCACGCGAGCTGCCGTGGTCAAGGTTGCTAAGGCGTCGCGCGGTCTCCAGCGATCCCGGGTTCGAATCCTGCTACGGACGAAAAACAGGTTGGTTCTTCAACGTTGATTTAACCGTAGAATTCAACATTGCAGCAATGTCGTAGTAGTAACACTGATTCAACGTTGCATCGTAACGTCAGTAAGACGTTTCATGAAAGATGTTGCTTCGATTTTCATTCTAAAGTTTTTTTCACCCCGATCTCGACGTCGTAATAGGTAGTTGTTTCAACGTCGATTCAAATATAAGTACTTATATTATCAGCCTGCTTATATCGCAAGTTCACAAGGAATCTAAAAGCAAAGAAAACGCCAAGAAAATTCACCATATCGATATTGAAAACGTTTCGGAGTCCAGCTCCATCATCAGTTCGACCAAACTAAAAATGAATAAAATCATTTTACAAGTCAAAATTCAAAGCCAACTATCAACTATCGAATGCCTGCTGGGTAATCACCGCTCACAAGCAAGCCGTGTTTGTTCGTTGAGATGCTATAATGACATCTGCGATCTCGACTGCAGAATGTATCACAAAATGCGTGTTCACAAGAACGTGTTAGCCAGTTGGCCTCTTACTTATGATTGCCCTTCATATTGTTTTCTTCTGCTCAAAATACCTATTCGTTTAATCACCGATAAAACTAGTTACATCTTCAAACGCGATCATCCAATTGTAGCACAGATAGCTAAATCCCTAGGAATTAAACGCGGAATTAATGCTGCAGAACTACAAAGAATTGATAATACTTTGCACGGTTGCCAGCCGGTCTTTTTTCCGCAATAGTTCCGCGTTTTAGTATTTTTTCAATTGCGTTGGCCGGCTAAAATTTATAATAGGGGTACTTTTTAATTAAATTATAAAAAATTAAATTATAAATAAATGTTTTTTACACTGGAACCTACAAATATACTAGCATAGATTGAGTTATAGGCCTTTTTGGTCTATTTTGTTTACGGACTAGGCCGCTTGTAAGGCATCTGGCAACCCTGTTACTTTGAATACCTTTAATTAACGCACAATTACTTACTCTGTTACCTAATACTAGAGCTTGACCCTCAAAGCAAGAAGATATATGTTTTATAGAATACTTGGGAATAAAATCTTACTAATTCATTATAATTTTCTGTAGAGCATGACACTGGGGCTATGCTTGTGATACATTTCTGGAAGTTACAGCATTAAACAAAGTTGATTTTGTTACATTTGGCAAGCCGACAATATCACATGTTGAGGTCGTAAATCTTTCCTGAAATAATATGCTTCCGAATCTTTATCATAGTAACTTCTTAAAAAATTTAATGAGTCTAACTCAAGACCAGAATTTTCATATTACTGTTGTGTCTACCAATCGGCAATCATTTGCTACTCTTCCGTTCGATATGGCGTCGGAGATGATGACTTGAGCTCACTCATCAGCAGTCGGCTAAAAGGCGAAAAACAATAACACACAGCTACAACACACACAACAAAAAAAGAAAATCACATAACACAACATAAAATAACATAATACAACAACAGAGAGACGGGCGCGCGAGAAAAAAACCCCGGGCCCATAGCTGTCGCCGATTCTTGTACTTTTTGTGACTTGTTCACAGGAGATCAAAAAACAGATCATATGACCTTTTCAAAACTGACGATAGTTTGAAATATAGCTACTAGACTTCCACCGGGTTCGATATAGTGCTAGGCTTTTCAAGTCTCAACATATATTTTTCCAAAGCTATATCTAGTCTGTTCTTGAACGCGTTCATACTTGGAGCGCCAACGATGTAATCGGGGAGGCTGTTCCACATGTCGGTGATTCGAAGCGAGAAGAAATGTTGTCGCATGGATAAGTTATAGCGCAGTTTTTATTTATTTATAGCCATGGCCCCTGGCGTTGGTTCATGTTTCAAATTCTAGCAATCTTTCTGGGACCTTGCATAAACCATCAGTATACATGTATATATCCAGAACTGGGCAGCGCTACTTTGAAATGTAGCCGCCGCTACCACTACCGCTACGTCCTCTAAGTGTAGCGGGCGCTACCGCTACCGCTACAATTGCTTGAATGTAGCGCCGCTACCGCTACTGAAAATGTAGCGCGCTTCTGTCTGGTAACAATTAACTTGCATGTTGACACTAGTAACAGGCTGAGGTTGACAACATTACACCGAAATCTTTCGTACAGTTTTATTCTGTAATTTATTTTATGTATGTCTCATGCTGGTTTTTAAATAATATTTAATACTATTATGTACAGAGTCGTGGTTTAATACTATGAATGTAGTGGTAGCGCTGTAGCGGCAAAACATCGTATCGCTACTTAAATATGTAGCGGGCGCTACCGCTACCGCTACAATTGCTTATATGTAGTGCCGCTATCGCTAGCGCTACTAAAAATGTAGTGCGCTATTGCCCACATCTGGTTACATCTGCACAACTACTGAACACTGAAACATACACGCTTAATATGGATGCAAATTTGATCTTTAATTATTAAAGTATT